CATATGACCGCAGTATGGTATCACAATTATATGACGAAAATTTTTTAAATCGCATTTATAAAGGTGTCCGGAAACTTACGTCCACCCTCTGTATTTATGGCATGACTTCTGAAATTTCCTCGTAAAGTTCAACATAATGCGCGTTTATTTATTAACTATTAAAAAAAAAAAATCCAAAAAGAAAAAAGGTCCCGAAATTTGATTTATCCATATTCCCTATCTCTTTCTGTGATTGCTTAACTGGAAATTTAGGTTTTAAATAGTCTTATAACTCTTTTCTCGACGATTTGGCTTTTAGATAAACCGACAATACTTTATTATTTTTATATCATATTGAAGAACTTTGTTGGTTCTTAGTTGCCCCGCTTCTTATCATTTGTAGAAAATAACTTTATTAGCAACATAACTCCAGAGTAGGTTATTCCAAAGTTTAATCAACCACGATGTAAATAACTAAAGAAATAAAGGTATTGGTTTCTCGAAGACTTTTAATTTTTTTATTATGCTTTCGAATTCTTCTTTTTGCCTTAAAATGTTCATTTCTTGAAGCTCTTTACTTCAATTAATTTGTTCCCAAGTTGTTTTTCTAATTCTTTTTTTTATCTTAAAAAGAATTTTATTTAGAATAAATTGTATACTTTTGCTTCAAATTTTCAAGGTTATTTTCTCCGTATCTATTAATTAACTCAAAATTTTTCATCTTGTTTTGTTTGAATTCTTTTAGCGAAAATTAAATTTTTCTTCAATTTATTTTTCGAATTCTCTTTTTCATCCAAAACAAGGCATTGTTTTAGAACATTTGTAAAGTTTCAATTTCCTTGGACTTTTATCATCAAGATTTTGAAGTTGCTCAAATATCTTTTATGATCGTCGTACCAAATTTATTAGCTTATACTGTAATTCTTACTTTTTCAGAAGAATCTCCTCTGTATCACAGTTGTTCTAAATATTAACCTGTGACATTCTTCACACTTCACTCTGTGTCTGCAGTTAATAACCGTTATTTCTGCGTTATGATGACGCAAGACGATTTACCAAAGGTTACTTTGTCGATAAATTTAATCTATCAAAACTAAAGTATCGAAACAAAAGATTTCCGAAAAAAAATAAAACTTTCTGAGAAGTTAAACAATTGAAAATTCATTGCTGTCTCAAGACCCATCTCGTTCACCTCTCTAAACTCGAAGAAATTTCCAAAAAATATAAACCATCCAAAGAAAAATTTGGTAAAGACTTCGTGACGAACTTGACGAATCCTCCGATGAGAACTCAGAACTTTTAAAAAAAAATATCATGTTCGAGAATTCATCGTTTGAATTTCAGTAATACTAATTGTCCAATAGAAATTTGTACGCATATCGTCCTTACGCCTAACGGTTTGAGGTGCGTCAATGATTTAGAAAAGGTTGGGACGTGGTTTTATTATCGGATTATGGGTACCATTGATTCACAATTTCGGATATTCTTTATAGTGTATTACAAAAATCCGTGAGAGGTGATAAAAATTTTTTCTTTGTCACTTGTATATCACATTTTTTTTTTATTTTATTTTATTTTAATTTTTTTTTATGTTGGCGGAAAATCGTGAAAGTTTCCCCAAAAGAAACCGATTACGAAGTTTGAATCTAACTCGAACAACATGCTTGAGGATTCCCTTGGTAGTAATTCAAAAGATAGAATCGATGAACAGAATGAACTAAAAAGTGAGCGTGACCAATATCTTAAGAATTATCTTGAGATTCATACTAAAAATTATGAACTGGAACAAAAAATTAAACAACTTGAAAAACTCGTTGAGAGAATCAAACTTGAAGAAATTCCTAAAAAAAATTCTTTATTAAATAAAGTTTTCAAACTATTTCGTACACAAAACGCGGAATCCGCTAAGAATTTGCTGCTGCAAATAGACAATTCTAACCTTGAAAAAAAGCTCAGAGAAAATACCAAACAATGTCAACAATCCGAAAATAAATTGAAAAAACTTCGTGAAAAATATAACAATGATTCCAAAAAGAGTTCAAAGATACAAAATGAAATTTCTGAACTTGAAGAAAAGCTCCGAGAAAGTTCCGAAAAATGTCAACAATCTAATGATAATTTGACAAGACTTCGTGAAAATAATTCAATCCTACAAAAAGAAAATTCTAAACTCCAAAAATTCAAAAATAGTTTGTCAAATATAAGTATTTCGCTGCAAAAAGAAAATTCTGAACTCCAAGATAAGCTCAGGGAAAATTTCAAAAAATATCAACAATCCGAAGATAATTTGACAAGACTTCGTAATAAGTACGATGAATATTTCAAAAAGCATTCAATGCTGCAACAAGAAAATTCTAAACTCGAAGAGAAGTTCAGAGAAAATTCCGAAAAATGTCAGCAATCCGAAGATCATTTAACGAGACTTCGTGATGTACATAACAAAAAGAATTCAATAAAAGAAATTTCTGACATCGAAGAAACTCCCGAAGAAATTTCCGAAAAGGATAATCGATCAGATAATTTGACAAAACTTCGTAGTGAACTTGAGGAATATTCCAGTGGACTTAAAGAAGAACTCGAAGATTTGCGTAAAGAAAAATCTTACCTCGAAGAAACGCTCGCAGGAATTTCCGAAAAACATAGGCAATCCGAGACAAGACTTCGTAGCGAACTTGATGAATGTTCCAATGAAAATTCTGCGCTCAAAGAAAACCTCAAAGAAATTTCCGAAACATACGAACGATCCAAATTAGGACTCGAGGAGTTGCGTAAAGAAAAATCTTACCTCGAAGAAACGCTCGCAGGAATTTCCGAAAAACATAGACAATCCGAAGATACTTTGACAAAACTTCATAGCAAACTTGAGGAATGTTCCAATGGAAAATCCGAACTTCAAGAAAAGTTTGAAAAACTTTCCAAAAAATGTGAACAATCCAAAGAAGAACTCGAAGAGTTGCGTAAAGAAAAATCTTTGCACGAAAAAACGGTCAGAGAAATTTCCGAAAAACATAGACAATCCGAAACGAGACTTCGTAGCGAACTTGATGAATGTTCCAATGAAAATTCTGCGCTCAAAGAAAACCTCAAAGAAATTTCCGAAACATACGAACGATCCAAATTAGGACTCGAGGAGTTGCGTAAAGAAAAATCTTACCTCGAAGAAACGCTCGCAGGAATTTCCGAAAAACATAGACAATCCGAAGATACTTTGACAAAACTTCGTAGCGAACATGAGGAATGTTCCAATGGAAAATCTAAACTTCAAGAAAAGTTTGAAAAAATTTCCAAAAAATTTGAACAATCCAAAGAACAACTCGAAGAGTTGCATAAGGAAAAATCTTTGCTCGAAGTAACGATCAGAAAAATTACCGAAAATCATAAACTAGATTTAGAAAGATTTGTAATTCAAAATGAAGTGAAATATGAAGACGTATTGAATAAGTTGTCACAAAAAGATTCCAAAATTCATGAACTTCAGCAAAAATTTGATGAAACTAACAAGGGGATAAAAGATCTTAAAAATGTATTGGACAACAAAGAAAAAGAAAAGAGAGAACTTTTAGAGAAAAATAGTAAACTTAAAACGGAAGCGTCTAAATATCAAGCCGCACTTGGTAATGTGACAACTTTTCGGATGAATGATGATGATAAAAACCACTCGGTTCAACTTGTAAATGATATTTTATCATTACGGGACATGTTGAAAACTTACGTCACATCATTAAAAGGTAAAATAGAAATCGATACTTGCGAGATTAACAAGCTTTTGAGAGAGCATAATATCAAAACCACAAAACAAATCGATTATTCGTTAATTAAAGCGGTATTGCAGTTCCATACTTTAATGAAAATAATGGAGAATGTGAAAATCTTTTTTAAGAATTTTAGCAATTCTTCATCGGCATTACATCTTGAAGCAGATATCATGTCCAAGTCAAAAACATTGGAAGAAAGATTAGTTGAATTCTCTAAAACTCGAAATGGAAAAGACTCGGTAACACAAACAACCTCAATAAAAATACGACAAGAAGTTAATATCGCTCTTAGTAATCGAGGATTTTCGGACGTTTTAATTGGGAATGACGTTCCGCGAGAGCACGATTTCATTAGTGATTATAAAGATATTTTAAATGAAGAAATGAATAAGTATCGTACGATTAAAGATCCGGCAAAGAAAAAAACCATCGAGAATTTGGCGCCGAAACTCATCCGAGAAATTATTAGATTAATTTGGTTTCGGTTACAAATTCAAGAGCCTGTTGCTCAAATTGAATGGGTACCCGTGGGTTCCGACATAGATCCAAACGTTATGGAGGGAATCTGGGACAGCGAAGATATTGAGCATCTAGAAGTGGAAGTTTGTACTTTTCCGATGATTGGTCGAGATTTGAATAATTTGGAGAAACGTGTAATTTATACTCATGCTCAGGTATTTACAAGAAACAAATCTTTGATGACGAAAACTTTAAAAAGGTTTGGAATGCAATAATGAAGATTCTTAAAAGAAATTTTATTAAATGTTTCTTTATTTAAATAATAAAAATAAATTATTTTTATATATCTTTTTTCAAAAAAACAAAAAAAAAAAAATTTATAATATACAATATAATGAATAAAAATAAATCAAACGTGATATTGTTTTAAAAAATGACTATTCGTTATCATCGAGAGGATCAGAAAATCTTTCATTTAATTGGAATACGGATTCGTAATTTTGACCATTTGTTTTGTTGTAAGCACTAGCTTTAACTTCTATTGCACCAAATGATAAGTTAAACGTAACGGGTCTATATGTTCCTAATTCTACGTCGGGAAGTTCAATAAGCAATTTCCCAAGCAATTTCATGCCAGGCTCATCACAATAAACGGCTTCACTTTTTGTTGTGTAATAAATTTCAAAACAAATATTCGTTTGAAATGAAAAAACAGGAACCATTGTTTCCGTGAACTTTTCATTAATTGTAACTTCAGTCCCACGTTTCGCGAGAAGGCAAAATTTATCAATCCTTCCACCAATGGTCATTCGGTCTGGAGGATCTCCGAGTTTCCATTTAGGAGATACCAAGACTCCGAACGTACGATTCAATACGCGAGTCACGATGATACGTTTTGATTTACTCAGATCCGTCAAGTCTTCCACGTCGTTTAAACTTCTTCCATACAATGCTGCGCCATATACAACCGCCGCAATAGGTCGTGTCGGAACCGAGATATTTTCTACCTTATGGCTAAATTTGTCCTTGATTGCTTTTTGTAAATAATTTGATTGGCTAAAACCTCCAACTAGGAAGATTGCCGAACATTTTCCTGATGAATTATTTAATTGTGTGTCAATCATTTCGACGATCCTGTTAACGATAGGATCAAACATGGATTTCATGCGTCCAAAATCAATTTCAATCATCCAATTAATTTTTTCCAAACTGTTCTTCTCTCTACCAGTAACATATTGTTTCAATGAAGGAGCCAGTTCTTCAAAATCCAATTCATAAATGAAATTCGGATTATCATCAGAGAATGGTAACTTTGCCCGTCGACAAAAATCTTGAATCAAATGTTGCATTTGACCGTAATGCTTCTTTTCGAACAATGTTACGGCTGAACTTCCAACTTCTCTTTTAAGTAGATTAACGAATTCTTTATCAATAAATGTGCTTCCGCAAAAGTCTCCTGCTCGCTCAGTGACTTCTCCCAATTGGTTCTCTCCCAATAATTTACGAGTTGTTAGATCCACCGTGCCACCGCCACAGTCGGCAATCATGAAAATTGCTAAAATAACATTTTCATCGTTGACTTAATAATCAAATAATCAAAATGTAATTATCATTGATGATACTCGTATAAACTTACTTCCTGGAGCTGTAAGGTTGTGTTCCTTTAAACAATCATTCATACAATAGATTGCTGCGGCTTCAGCTAAAGAAAGAAATCAATCTCTCAATTAACAACTTCATCATGGTGAAACTTCACAAAGTTAAACAAACTTACGTTCAGTTGTAAATTGTAACTTTTCCGAAGATAAATTTTCAATCAATCCTGCGTTAAATATACATTCTCTCATCGTAAGCTTATCATTTTCTGAATATTCGGCTGGTACGGTAACAACCAAAAGAACATTTTTCATGAAGTCAATGTAGGTCCATTTTTTCGTAACAGTTTCTTCGATCAACTTTATTGATGTAACAAATAAAAATTCAAAATCATTAATTATAGGAAAATCGAGTTTGGAACGTTATCATATCATTTATTTATTTACCTTTCCCAATTCATCAAGGTAATCGGTAATCGCCTTTTTGTAAGGTACGGTTAATTCCGGTTTGTTTAAACAATTGCCTAAATGCAATTTAAACAGTTCCACAGGTTTCTTTTCATTATTATTCCTCCTACTCGGCTTTTTACATAAGGCTGGATTACCCCATAATACAACGTTTTTCAATTCATCGTCATATTGAAGTGTCGTGTTAGTTTTGAATTTCCCCTTCATCCCATGCCATTGCTCGTTTATATGGACCTTTTCATTTTCATCTGAAAGATGACTATAAGTAAAACCCTGTCGATAAAATAAAAAATATATATATATATGTTTGTTCCATTAAAACAATTCGAATTAGAATATAGCGCAAACGCATCTTTTGATAATTATGATTACCGAATAAGTAGTTCCGAAATCTATAAATTGGTGATTTTCACAATGTCAAAAATGTAAATTTTTTTTTTTTAAATAACAAATTTTATTTATTACCTATGCCAACCACAACGCGAATATCGTTTCTCCACATTACAGTTTACTTAATGGATTATAACAACCATTTATCGTATTTATATAATAATATCTCACAGAAGATTTTAAATCACATTATTTCTAACTTGTCACATTCCGCTTTTGAATTTCATTGAAAACAATTTGTGAGAATATTTAAGCGCAGATCAATTTTAAAAGAAATGGAAAATGGAAACAATCAACTTTTGATAAGCCATATAAACAAATATGTACATATGACTCTATCTTAAAGACCATTAAAGATTGTAAATGGACTATATGACGTTAATTTACAGAATTTCTTTGTATTCGGGATTTCTGATCCTTTTGAACCTTATTTATAATTGATATCATAGATAAGGAATTTACTTTATTTATTTATTAATAAACCTAACTTAAAGTTGCAATTAGTTGCAATTGCGAAATAAAGTATGTTGCAAGTGGAGGAAGATATTCGAGTTGTTCTCGCCATCGGTAACGTTTTGGAACCATATTAAAAGCTTTGATAACGTTAATTCAATCGACTAATCAATCAAAAAATACTTTTCTTTCGCCAACGTTTATTACCAAAGACTTTGGGACGACCTATTCGGTAAGAAATTTTTGTCAATGAACTTTAAGCAAGGAAATATTTAACATTATTATTTCATCAATTAAATAAACCAAGGGATACGCGTATGCACACGTTAAAAATCCTGCAAGAATTAGTGTTGAAGACAAATGGGAAGGATATGTCGGTCGCCTTAAAACCCCAACCGTTATAAAGTATACAGATGAAACCTATACTACTGTCGATTCTTGGGGTTATCCTGCATTGGCTCGAAAACCATCAAAACAAGATAAAATAAACTCCGAAAAATCAAAAGGAAAAGAAAAAGAAAAGCCATCGTCAACAAAACCTGTTGAATTGTTTAAGTTACATTTATCAAAATCTTTTAAAGGAAACCTATCTTTACCTGATCATTTGGATTATAGAAAAGTCATAACAGATTATATGAAAGAGTTGTGGAAATCCGTTAAAGTATGCTTGCAAACCCATTGGCAAGAATTGGACTTTCACAATCAAGTGTCGATTATCCTTACGGTAAGGATTTACTTCACAATGCTTTAAAAAAATAAATAAAGGAAACTAATTATTTATTTATTATTTAAAAAAAATAAAATAAAATAAAAGGTTCCGGCGGAATTTGCTGATAATGAAATTAAAATAGTACGCGAATGCGCCTTTAATGCAGGTTTGATGAAGGAGAAATTTAGTAATAATCTCCAATTTACGACAGAACGTATGTAAAAAGTTTATTGTTGTATTTCTTCTCCTAAAATTAAATTTATGTTAAAAAGTAATTATTTTTAATAAATAGCCGAAGCCGCAGCAATTCATTGTTTGGATTCGATAGCAAAAGAAGAACATAATTTAGTGCCAGGAGGTTAGTAATTTTATAATTATTAATAAAACGATTTTTTTTTTATATATATATATTTTAATTTGATTGCTCGTAGATTTGTTTATGGTTGTTGACTGCGGCGGTGGCACAGTGGATATAACAACACGTGAAATATTGGAAGACAACAAATTGGGAGAAGTAACGGTACGTGAAGGAGATTTTTGCGGATCAAGCTTCGTAGACGAGGCATTCCTTAGTTTTATTGGTAACATAACAGGAACACACGCAATTGATCAAATGAAAAAATATCATTATGATATATTACAATATATCGTAAAAGAATTTAGAGCTGCAAAGTTTCCATTTACAGGAGAAGAAACTGGATTTGAACCTTACGAGTTCGATTTGGATGAAATACATGTCATGAAGCAATATATAGTAGGAGAAAAAAGAAAAAATTTAGAAGAAAAAAATTGGTATATCGAAATTGGTTTTGAAGAGATTAAAGAGATGTTTGATCCAGTTATAGAAAAAATTATTCACTTGATTAGAGGACAATTGAATCAAATTGAAAAAAATTGTTCGGCTATGTTCCTAGTTGGAGGATTTAGCGAATCTCAATATTTACAAAGTAGGATTAAAAATGAGTTTCTTGGAGTAATTCCAAGCATTTCGATTCCAACACATCCTATTGCATCAGTCTTAAATGGAGGTTAGCATTTTTTTTTTTTTTTTTTTTTTATATATATTATAAAAAATAAAAAAAAATAAAAAAAAATAAAAAAATGCGTTTCA